AACCCGGTGTGGGCTATTCACATCTCATGGCAATGCGCACAGTGTGGCTTGCCACTTTTTTCGACAAGTTTGTTTGTCTCTGTCACAGTCAACAAAACAAACTCTTTCTCCAACTTGGACTCAAACTCAAGCATTACATCTGAAAGTGTCGGTCCACCAGCTTCATGATCCTCTTCTATCCATCAAAAGAGAAATCGCCAGATAAACCTACATGTTGAACATAAACTTCCAGAGCATAAAAAACAAAAAGGAAGTACTAAACAATTGGATTGACTCATCAGACACAAGTATAATCATGGGAACAGAAACATGATTAAACAACAGCATTCACAGTGTCGTAATTTTTCCTCAAAACTACGGTGTAATTCGGAGGGACCGGACAAACGGCTATGGTGGTATTAGGAAGGACGTTATGACCGTATTGCACCCCGTGATGATGACACGGAATCCGTGTTTGTTAAATTAACAATTGGTAAAGAAAGGTCCCTTGTAGTTGGAGCACTATATGGCTCTTCATCGAGCGACACTCTCTATATGAAGAATCTGTGTAGGTTTGTGGAATTCATGTCTTAAGACCTACAAAAACGCAGTAATGTGGATTGGAGGAGACCTGAATCTCCAGGACATTGATTGGAACACTACCAGTGGTCGATAACCAAACCTCAGCTGCCATAAACAGTAGAATACGAAGAGTACGAAATTGCAGCCTCAACCATACAGTGATGTTCACGACTAGGAGGGACTTGTTTTTAACAAACCGACCAACACTCATTACCAGGTGCATACCATTACCGGTATTTGATGATCATGATATTGTTTATGTTGAGACCAACATCACTCCAAATCGTGACAAACCCTTGAAACGAAAGATCTATCTGTTAAAAAAATACAAACAGTGATGAACTGATTCTCAGGACTGTTTAAGTTTGGCCAAGAATTTGCAACAAATTTCTATTTGTCGAGCCCAGTTCAACGTAAGCGTAAAAATATTCAGTGTTCACTTCTCGACCTCCTCATCTAACATGTCCCCTCAAAGATGACAGCATCTAATAAGTCAACCATGGATAACGCGGGAGGTAAAGAAATTGTCCAGACAGAAAAAGCTTAGTTTTCAGAAGGCACGCTCATCAAAGAAGGAAACTGACCTCCGCAGATACCAGCATCTTAAGAAGAAAAAACCCAGATCTCCATGCAAAACGGCATACAACGTGCTCCTCGACAACATTGCAAGCCCAGACTCTGACACAAACCCGAAGCGGTTCTGGAGCTCCATCAACGTTGTGACAGCACAGGCGTGTCCCAAATAAACGCTCCAGATGGTAATGCGTACTCGGACAGTGCGACAAGTTCTTATCTGTCTTCAACAAGAACTAGTACTCCTCTTATATCCCGGACAATAGACCAAGCCCACACCTCGACATGGAAAAGTCTTAGTGTCTCCTTACGGTGTCAAAAAACATACCCAGTCGACTGCTCAAGGAAGTGGCAACAGAGCTCAACCCAGTCTTCACTATGTTGTTCAAGGCCTCCATTGACCAAAGTCAACTTCTAAAAGAGTGGAAGAGCGCAAACGTGGTGGCGGTTTTTAAGAAAGGAGAAAGGAGTAAACCAGCAACCTACCGACCTATATCTCTAACATCAGTGGCTTGCAAGGTCATCGAACACATAGTGTGTAGTAGTATGAGGAAGCACCTAGACGAGCACCACATCCTCAGCGATGCCCAGCATGGCTTCTGGAAAAGGCGCTCCTGTGAGACTCAACTTATATAAACACTCCAGGACCTTGCCAGTGGTATCGACAATAAGCTCCAGGCCGACGTCATATTACTGGACTTCCAAAACATCTAAAGCCTTTGACAAGGTGACACACAAAAGGCTTCTGTACAAATTGAAGTTCTACGGAATTAGAGGAAGATTGCTGGATTGGGTCAATGACTTTCTACATGACCGTTCCTAATGGGGTTTTTATCGACAGAGTTAAGTCTGACCCGGCCCGGGTTCGATCCGGTGTGCCGCAGGGTGGTGTTGTCGGAGCTCTCCTGTTCCTCCTGTTCATAAACGACCTGCTAGATGTCATCTCATCTAAGTCGAAGGTTGGCCTCTTTGCTGATGACTATGTCCTATACCGGTATGTTTCATTAACCCTTTCACCACTGTAGACCACAATGGACTCATCCATATCAATGCATGACAGAGTCTTCTAAAGTTACATAGGGGTGAGGGGTTAACAGAGGATTCACTTCAACTGTATAGGGACCTGGACAGTCTAGTTAGGTTGGAACAGGATTACATGATGAAATTCCACCCCCAAAAGTGTTAAGTTCTACACATCACCAGTAAGAGAAACATCATAAATGAACCATATTACATCCATGGCCATACACTGAAAGTGGATGATACGGCAAAGCACCTTGGCGTTAATCACCACAAGACTCTGAGCTGGATTCTCACATAAGCCAGATAACAAGGAAAGTAAACTCTACCCGGGCTTTCCTACAGCGAAATATCAACCAGTGCCAAAAGCAAAATAAGAAACTTTGCAACAAGACATTATTGAGACCCACCATCGAGTTTGCCAGCACAGTATGGGACCCTCATACAGCCGACAGCATCAAGAAGCTGGGATTGATGCGGAGACGCTCAGCCAAATTCATCTTTGGTGACTATCATACCAGCAGCGCCTCATCAATGATATCCCAATCACCCTGCAGGAAAGACGTGCACATGCTAAGGCAGTGATGATGTGTCGTATCGTCAATGGCCTAGTTGAATTGCCGATTAAAACTTTCTTAAACTGTCAGGTGGAGGTTCAAATGAGGAAATGTGCATAAAACATCACGTTGTAAAGAAATTGTCTATGTTTTTCGGGTATCTGGCGCCCTGTTTAGCACATGAATTCGCTTCTGTAGTGCATCTTATTCACTGAGTCACTGTACCGAGGTTTATCAGTCATTCATCCTCATCACATTTAAAATATCACCGATATTTGTCATTGTATCGTCCACTTGTGAAACGCATACAGGTAGATCGTTAATTGGTGTCTATATGGACAATAAGACCCTCTTTGTGCTAGATGGTGGTAAGAAGAGTTTATACTCCAGAACATTACCTAATAAAATGTTATGTGTAATTCAGAAAGTTTCCAGCAGCAAACTTCCTTATCCAATTAACACATTTTGGTGTCGGATACAACCCCTTATAAGTGCAGCGTGCGATTGTATCAAATTATTCTACTGAAGTCATTTGCTATAACACAACTACTAGTTTTAGGAGATATTGTGAGGACGCTAAACTTTGAACACAGAAAACAAGACAGTTCTTTAAGTCAGTGAGTCACTTATCCTATAACAGATATGGTACAGCTTAAGACAAAACAGTGCTGATATGAAGGTTTGGTTTGGATAAAAGGTTATGTGTTATTCAGAAAGCTTCCAGCAGCAAACTTCGTAATCCAATTAACACATTTTGGTGTCGGATACAACCCCTTATAAGCGCAGCGTGCTATTGTATCAAATTATTCTACTGAAGTCATTTGCTATGACACAACTACTAGGTTTATTTTAGGAGATATTAATATGGGCTTAGCTTTGTTCTTTTCTATGTACAGACTTAATGTATCATCCTGAATAAAATGTGTTGAAATGAAATTAATGAAAAAATCATGAAAGTTTCAACGACAGAAGCTTTCAGAAAATAATAGGTATGCCGTGTCCTAATGCATCTCGTAAGAGGAGACTAATGAGGGACCCCTTGCAGAAGCGATGGTTTCGTTTGATGTCCTCTGCTTACGAGACCTTCAAGGACCAAAAATTGATCGGCTGTCCCCATCGCAATTTTTCTGGCCTCTTCCTTTTTCTTTTCTTTCCTACGTACTTTTTTCTATCCATTCAGACGACCGTCTCTTTATTAAGATAGTTATTGTGAGGACGCTTAACTTTGAACACAGAAAACAAGACAGTTCTTTAAGTCAGTGAGCCACTTATCCTATAACAGATATGGTACAGCTTAAGACAAAACAGTGCTGATATGAAGGTTTTGTTTGGATTGATCTTTTGATAAAGTCCTATTAACAGCTGATGTCTTTTAAGGACGCGCATCTGTGTGTGTAATGTATGCGTACATGTGTGCATGTGTGCATGTGTGCTGGATACAAGTTCTGTTGGTGCTTTTGCCGCCTTGCGATAGTGATGATATTATGTGTTTGTCACACGAGTATTTGTGTTGGTTTCTTCTGGTGCGAATTACATAGAACCCATAGACATATGTATACACAGATGACAGTTTATTTGTTAATCATTCACACTCGTCAACGGAGACAGTTCCCTAGCACTGTGGCGGTAACGCATACAGGCAATTTACATGCGACTAATCTAAGCCAAGGGTTGGTGTAGAGTCAATTAACTCACCTGGGAAGAGTCCAGGGTGAGGCTTTTCACGTGCATGGACAGGGTCATAGATCAAAGTGTCACTCTCAACCAATACTTGCACCCACCTCTCATACGTCACAATTATAACACAGGTACAATACCTGACACAGACATATGTACCATTACACACGATACACAGCGCAAGTATTAACATGTACTCAAATTACATCGTATTTAAAATACATAATTTTAAATACTAAACCTACTGGACAAACTGTTACTAAGTTTGGCCACCGTGACATGTTGAAATACTCCAAAGGTAACACCACAGTATTTCACCCGGCCACATCATACTGACAACGGGTTAACCATTTGTTACCATAACCATAAATGCTGCGCTTTAAGAGGTAATGACAACAGCCATTTGAGGTCATTGGTACCTGTATGTCCTGTCCCAAAACTAAAACATGTAATTAATGTACCAGATTTAATTTGGTCGTTCTTGTATCCCGAATTAAAGGACTTTACACAAATCTATAATTCTGCAGGGGGTTCACGCGTTAGTCGCCTCTTTCAACATGATGGTATATACCTTTTCAATGCATGATCTGCTAGAGTGGAGATGATCTGTTCAGAACGATCGTATTTACATTGATGAATTGCTTGTTTTTTAATTTTAAATTTTAATTTACACATTTATCGAGCCCAGAAGCGGAAGTAAATTAGTTTTCACTCGACTGAAACAGATCAAATTGTCTCGAGATCGGGAATAGTTATAGCTTGCAATACCAGTTAAAGCGCTACTCAGGTCTGGTATGACAAGAGCTGTGTACTTACATCGATACACATACAAACTATATGTACATGTAAAACTTTGGATTAGAAGTGTTTGTTCTCGGCGAATTCTTTATTCAATAGTACGGCTGTGTATTACACTATAGCGCGAAACGAGGTCCCTGTTAAGACTAGTAAGTTGGAGAGTTTGTATTGTGTGTACACATTGAACTCTAAGTCGAGATGCGTTAATTATGCGTCAATAATACATTATAATTGGTTATACTCTACACTTGCGTACATAATACATGAAATGGGAGAAGTTACGGCCTGGTAACAGCCTGAACCTGCCTTGCTACACCACTGTGCAGAGGATTACATATCTACATATACGACAGTGTCAAATACCAATAGCATTTGTTTACATGGTGCTTTGTCTGATGAGAACACATGTTTATACACCTAGTTGTACCTGCCTAGCGGGTGTTTTTTTTTTTATCATACCACAGATACGCACAACATCGTTTGCTGTCCGACGCTCGTCCGACGGCTGCCATTCCGGATACATCGTTGATCCACTAATGTCCGGTACGGAAAAATGGGTGGTGCTGATATCCGGATTCCTAACTATATTTCTGGGTACCAGTCTGGGATACTCTTGTGGGGTAATTCATGTCGCCCTTCTGGAGAAGTACAACAGGTCGTCCCTCCTGACGGCCTGGCTCGGCTCACTCTTCAGCAGTGTGTTCTGTCTCGGAGGTAAGTACTAAGACCAGCGACCGTTTTCGCTCAGCCTGTGTGCGATAGTTTCTGGTATGTAAGAAATTCTTAAAACAATGAATTTGGTAACACAATTTAAAGTATTAGTCACTTGTGTATGATATGTTCGATTTTTTAATGTCATGTCTCAGCTCGGTTTTATCAGAGGCCATATTTATTTTGGTCATATGACCCGAACAAAGAACAATGTTTGGATATCTTTTTCCCAAAATGATTATTAGGTTCCTGTCAAATCATACTACTACGTATGCCCTAAAGGGAAGATGATGTCTGGCTTGTGTGCCCAACGAAGTTCTATTTTACCTTGAGTATTATAAACATTTAGTGAGCCCTACATGTAACACCCTCAAACCAGCTGCTTGTAAAAAGAAGTTTGAATCCTCACATGATAACAAATGTTATCAAACCAATGCTTTATATTATGAACTGAACGAGGAATATCTGTGTTATGAAATAATCCATGTGGACTAAAACGACATCATTGGCTAGTTATATGCATGTGAAGCCGCTCCACCAAACCATGGTTCCCGGGTATCATATCTCGGTTTCTAAATACAATAGTAGAAACCCGAACAATATACCCAAGGGTGGGACATGTTTACGTGCGCTAGAAGTATTTTCGTACATCTCTTACCAATTATTTGAATGAGATGCGTAACCGTCATCTTTTGGCAAAATATATTTATTTGGAAATAACGTATCACATTTAGATTTATACTGAAATTATAAAATGTATATAACCTTATAAAATTAACACAATATAAGAAGATTTTCCATTGCGGGACTTTCATGGAAAAAATTGTTTCTCCACACTTCACAGTTGAGTCTATCTTACATGGGCGTGATGTCACAATGGCTCAACAATGACGTGATGTCATGGATTTGGAAACTACCGATGCCGCAATGCGGAAAAGGCAACGTGACGTTAGAAACATGAGACTATTTTTCTGTGCAAACGTTGTTTGCAAATATGGGGTATGCTTAATCTCGCTGACGAATTCCTTTTCGTAAAAAAAAGTTCAGGGGGGAAATTGATATTTTGGTGGCCAGTCCAAACGCATTTGCATGGTTTCTGGGCTTAATCTGCTAGTTGGAATGAGAGAAAAAATACTTTATCATGCCCTGGAGAGTAGGATAGGCAAATTCCACCCTCGGTATTTCCAAAAATTTTAGCAAAACCCTCGGCAGAAAAAACCAACAAAAAAAACATCGGGTTTTACCAAATTTGAAAACCTGTCGGGAGGAATTTCCCTTTCCCACATCCCTGGACATGAAATAGTCTTATAATCTCACCCTAGGGTTGAGACGGGGGATTTCCCTATTCATAACAATGGTATGACGTCACGTCAACAATACAATGATGTCAGGTCAACAATCCATCAACGTCATGTCAACCCTGCATTTAGCCAGTAACGTTAACATTAAATTAAGCATATGATACACAATGTTAGAACATGGTAAGAGAAAAAAAATCATTCACCCCTTGAGGGTGAGATAGGGGAAAGGGGATTAAGTTGCCAATGAGATATTCTATTACTCTAACCCTGTCTCTGTTGACAATGTCGTACTTATAATGCAATGTAGTCGTTACAGGTATAACGCATTGTTGACGTGACGGCATTGTATTGTTGATGGGACGTCATACTATTGTTTTGAATGGGTAATTTCCTTAAATGACATTAGCTGTTGATGGGAGGTTAATCCTTGTTCAACCAAAGAACCAACCATCCCCATTTCAACCCTAGGGCGAGCCATAGGGTCTCACACGTCAAGGCCTCGTGCTTAGCTTCAGAGATATTATCCTCGGGTTTAAATTACCCTGTCACCATTACAAATGAGTAAAATCTTTAAATCGTATAGGTAAAGTAGAAATGTGCATATCGCTGGCCTCTAAATGGTATATATACAGGCCATGGAAAATGTATGAGTCTTGCATGGTCAGCTGTGTATGACTATATTTTTTCTGTAACCTGATCACTAAGTTTAAGAGGGTCAATATTCAAAGTGTCATGATATCGCATACTGAGTCCTCCTTTGATGTTTTAAATATGTTTCATAAGATAGTATATATAACATGACTGGACTATACTTTATAAAGCTTAATACTAAGCACGCTCTTGGGTACAAATACAGCACAAACCATCTGTCACAGATCAAAGAAGTTTACATGAAATTTTAATTTCGTACTATATACAGATTGAGAGGTGGATAAAGATGAGCATGACAGCCGTGACAGGACGAATCAGGGATTTTGTTTCTAGTGTGTGAATGGATGTGGGTGAGAGAGCTTTTTAATGTAATTAATTCCGTTGTATATGTGTTGGGTTTTTTGGGGTGAGAGGAGGTGTGAGGTTGTGTGGGTGTGGGTGTGGGTGAAAGAGAATACACATGGGTATGTATTTATGTGTACATCTTTGATTCGCACGAGGGAAGTGTGGGGTTATGTGGGTCTGGGTTTCTATGCGTATTTACATGTAAGTTGTGTATACCTTGTTTACTATACCAACTTGGCGCTATACGTTAAATAAAGGATATGAAAGAGCTTCTAGTGAAGTAAAGGGGATACTTTATCGTTTTTCTTTCTTTATGCTACTTTCTAATAACAAAGGTAGGGTCAACGCCTATGGAGATTTAACATTAGCGTCGGCCCCCGCTTCGAATTTCAAAACAAGATAAATCCAAAAAGGTATGGGTATAGGAAGCTTAAATCAGAAACAGTTAGTTTCAGAATTCATTTGATGAAAAATGGGACCTCATTGACTTACTACTGTGTGGGTGCTAAAGGTGTGGTAATACAATTCCTCCTAACGCATTTAAATGACACAATTGCTATAAAATGATATCGTCATCGTGTGTAACATATTCCAACTGTTATATTTATACTGAATATTACACTATTTCAATAAAGAATTGTTCTTTTTATTGAAGATTTAAGCAGAAAAGTGTGAAATTTCATTTCTAATGAGAACATTTCCATTTTTGACACGTTAATTTATATAGGTCTAAAACTAGTCTATTTTTCTTACTTGCTGAAATGTTGGCACCCAATAATATATTTCAACATCAAGAATTTCAAAAAAAAATGACATATAACAATTTTTTGTTCAAAAAAAGAAAAACATAGCTTTCTTTCCACATTTCCTTTAACTTGTGTTTCTTCATGACTAAAGGTCCTTGGGTCTTGATATTTGGCAAGTAGGTTGTTCATGTGAATAAGTTGAAGTGTTGTAAACGTTGATGACCTTGACCTCGATCAAGGTCACAAAATCAAATGTGCTGAAATAATATGTTGTATGGGGAGTCAGACAAGGATATCTTTCCTTGCTTTATTTGTTTAGAGTTCACGATATAAAAGGGTGTAATACTCCTTCATATTTTGTTTAATGAATGGGCAATAGGCCAAACTTTATAATAACTAGAACTATAAGCCAAAGAATAACTAATACCGCCGCTCATATATAAACCAGAAATGTAAGCTAAAGGCTAACTAAGACAAAGCATTGCAAAGCAATCCATAGTCTCCCACCAGTAATTATTTAAGTATATATGTCACTAACATACTTCTTGTACTCCCTCCCCATGCCAAAACACACTTTCATACCAAATCGTGTTAGCCCAGATGAACCAGTTTTGCTGAAATCTTCCTAGCACGACATAAGGGGTAATTACCGTATCTGTAAACTTTTATGAAAATCGGCCCAGAAGTTTATGAGGCAGACAAAGATTTTTTTTCAACAAAGGGCCAAAAGAAACTCCCTTTTTAAAGGGTCGGAATGAAAACATACTACTTGGATGCACAATGTCAAGGGCAGTTACCATATCTGTAACGTTCCGTTGAAATTGGTCCTTAAATTACCTTAGCTGTAAATAGGACGTTAAACAAAATCAAACAAACAAACCATAGTGTTGGAGGAGTTGTATGGACAAGTATTATCAACAAAGGGCCATAACTCCGTAAAAAAAAAGAAATACCTGGATGCACACCATCAAATGGTAGTTGCCATATCTGAAACTTTTCGTTGAAATTGACCCCTTGGTTTTGGGGGACATGTCCGGACAAGCCTTTTTCAACAAATCGCCTAACTGTGAAAAAATGACTTCGACAGAATACATAATGATGAGTTATTACTGCTGCACGTAACTTTATAACATACGTTATATAATAAAGTGTTTTGGTATGATACAAAAACAGAAAATGTATCTGTATTTAACATAATAAACATTGATAGTCAAATCTTCAAGATTATGTGAAATTGGGCATTGATCATGTTTGGCAAGCTAAAAAAAAGTACTTTAGCGGTTTTGATATTATATAAAAATGATTCTGTAGACAGAATACATTTGTTTGTAAAGAAGTTGACAATGTTGGTTATATTTATAATTTTGCGAACATTTTGCATGTTTTTCGAACTAAATGTATACCAATAGGACAAATTTAGTAGCAAACTAACAGAAATTTTATACACAATACACTATCATTATTCATTTTCAAAATAACATTCGCCTGTGATATTTATCGGTCATTTTCTTAGGATACCCCCGTCACCCGACCTGGTGTTATGCAAGGAGGTCCACTACGGTTATCAGTAGTAATTATGAATAATTATTTATGCAGTTATTGATCATTTTTATGTATGTGCATATGGCAAAAGAATGAAAGAAATCAAAGTGGGGGCCAAATATTGACCCCACCTTTCAGTAGGTTGCTAATATTAACTTTCTAATTTTCGGATTTATTTATATTTTTATGAGTGCATCTGAGGATTTGAGTGAGAGGAGGTATGTGTATTTGCGTATTTGCATTGTAAGTAGTTTCTTCATTGTTAATTCCAACAGGTCCAACTTTGTCATATGTTAAATAAAGGATATGAAAGTAACTTCTAATGCAGTAAAAGGGGAACGTTATTCGTTTTTTCCCCTTTATACTACTTTCTAATAACAAATTTCGGCAGGTTGCTAATATTAAAATTCCTCTCCGATTATAGGTGTTCGGCACGATGGTTTAAAAGGTGCCATTGATTTGCAAGTCGTCCGCCCGTCGGACAGTCAATCAGTACTTCACCTTCTCCGGAAAATATAGCATTTCCTCTGTCATCTACAATAGCCATAATATGTATGTAAACACTTCGAGTGTAGTCGGGTGTACTTTCCGTACACGAAAAACTACGCTTACGGAAAGTGCCGACGGTTCCCGATTGATCTCTACTGATGGGGTAGTGTTACGTAATGAAATCGGGTCTTGCAAGGTGAGGGACTTTTGGTTGCTTTAAATATTATCGCGATACAGTAGATGCTATGTTATATACTATATCCAATACAATTTTATCTTCTTACAAATATTCGCCGATCACTTCAATGAGAAATTGAATCATTCCATGACATAATCATGATTTGTGGATGAAACATGAATAAATCTTCAAAAAACCATGCTGAAATATTCCATGTAACAGAGAATTTTTAAACCTGCTCTTACCCATTTGCTATAGACATTCGCGAAACGTAAGGGTTCTACTCTGGATACACAAATCTTCTCTGCATCACAGGAGTATACCATGACAAAATTGAAGGCTAGCCGTAAGATGGCTTTCGGGTATAGAAACCTGTCCGATCGCTAGGCTGAACTCTGTCATTTGAAGGTTACATGGGAGTTAAACTCAACTTCATAGCATGTCAAATCTACTCAAATGTTGCCACACAATTCCGGTTATCGTCATTTAAGACATCGTATTAGTCTACTTGTGTCGTCTGCAAGGTGTTGCGTAAAGAGCCTTCGGTTTTGTCATGACATACCCCCGGGGTACAGTCAGTATATTTTTCCGAGAATAGAACTCTACCGATTTCGAGGATGGTTAAAGCGAGTATATACTCATTGGTTTCCACTGGCTGATGACATTTACTCTTATTCAGATTTTCAATCATATGATAAGATTTTATTTCTTTTTAAGCTCCTTTCGGAAGTGCTCTTGTGAACAGCTTCAGTTGCCGCGCATGCGTGATCATCGGCGGAAGTCTGAACATGATTGGATTTGCCTTAGCATGCTTTGTTCCGAAATTCGAATTTTTATTTTTCTCATACGGAACTCTTGCAGGTAAGAATACTTTATTTACTAGTGTGCATGTTACAGTCACAAAAATGATAAGTCTTACTAGAGTACGACAACAGCTACCGTTGGATAATAATAAAACGATAGACAGTATGATTTTTATTTTATTTTTCATTATCAGTTTAATGCATTTTTACTTTCTGTGTTCGTTGTTTTGTATCAAATCATTGAGTTCGGTTCAGGTAATATGTCATTTCAAACGAAATTCTGATACCGTTTATACACGGATGACATCTAAAGGGCATTAGAAAACAAGTGTGAATTTGACATCAAGACAGTATTACTTTATTATTGATTCGACAACGTGGCGCAGAAACTCTTACTTCCGCTAATTTGAAAAGAATTTGGGGATTACCCTACTGTATTTTGGGATTCGCGGCTGTATATCGTCATAAAATTGGGTTTTACTGGCGACACGTATCGGAGAACAATAGCGTCATCCCGAAGGTCAGTGTAATGTTGCCTCACTTTGAATATTCCTGACATCACCAAAAACAAATAGACAATCCAAATTCTGATTCATATAAGCTAAAAGAATATAAAATAACGACGATTTTATGATGTTTTGAGCGATTTTTTCAAAATTTTGGTCATACTGTCGTGGTTGGTGATTTCAGAAATATTCAAAGTGAGGTGAAATTAGACTGACCTTCGGGGTCACGATATTGTTCGTGACGCCACGAATAATCAATTTTAAAACGTGTCAATATCGTCAGAGTAATTGATGTCATTAACAATTGGCCATCCGGGCTTGATATGCAAATGACAAATGTTGTGGTTCTACCATTGCAAATTATGTTGATTGACCAATCAAATGCCACGTATATCTCAAATGCATTAGAATAAAGATTACTATTTCTATACGTTTTGCCTTATCTGTTACGATTTGTCATATTTGTTTTCCCGTAAAGGTCTGGGCCAGTCTCTTTCTAACATTGGCGCCGTCGTGTCCATTGGCTACTACTTTCAGAGGCAGCGTACACTAGCCACAGCCGCCATTTTGGTAGGGACTGGACTTGGAATAGTTATATTCCCGCCACTTATTCGGATCTTTCTGGATCAATACGGACTTGACGGGACATTCCTTATGCTCGGGGGTATATCATTCCAGACATGCGTGTTTGGAGCGTTTTTGCGACCACACAAGGCGGAGATCAAGCGACAGCAGACTATGTCGTCACAAGCTGGTATTTGTCAACTTTTCAAACTTACACATGTATGTTCTTCTATGAAAGATCATCTTAATTTATTTAACAATACAGGGTTTATTTTCATGTGCCTTAGTATATTATGTTGGAGTTCCGGTATAAACAGTTGTACACTTCTACTTCCGGATTTTTATGTGTCGACTGGATCAACTCCTACCGAAGCCGCCTACCTCATGTCCTTATATGGTATCGGAAATACAATGTCAAGGCTATTAACTGGATTGGCAGCAGTCGAGGGAGGGATTGACGGAAAGATAATCTATTTCGGATCCTGGGGTATTGTGGGGGTTCTGACGTTCTGCTTTCCCGCCACGGGGAATGTGTTTGTAGGGAAAGTGATATACACTGTGCTGCTAGGGTTGTACTCGGGCGGGACATTCGTACTCCTCAGTCAGATAGCGGTGGACATCATGGGGCTTGACCGTTTCGCTAGTGCTGTCGGCATGGAACTGTTCGTGTGTGGTATTGGATTTCTTGTCGGTCCAGTAATTGCAAGTAGGTACAATTTTTGACTAATCTTAACACGCTACTTCACTAAAAGCTGTTCTAAATGTCATGTTATCTAAAATTAAACATCTAGCAATATTATCTATGGATATGTTTTCTCATACATTTTGTATGATTTACGTGTGCTTATAAACATTTTGGTAAGTTCAAATGTTAAAGGGTAGCGATGAATATTTTTTTTATATAAAACTCAAAAATGCTCTTATTCATGAATGTCAATCTGTTTGCCTACACTACACAAGAGTAGCTGGTTATTTTCTCCCAAACTTACCTACCAAAGTTGTAATGATGAATTCAATAAAGAGCATCTACAATAATGACGTCAAGAATGTAAGGAAACGATGGTACAACGCTCCTGGTATAATCTAGTAATGGTGCGCATTAAGTTATGACGCGATCTCTTTAGTAAAGTGATGACGTTCCCAGCATAAAAGGCGTGTGTGAGGTATCTTCCTTTAGGAAGACAACTGATTTTCTCTCGCACTTCACATGTGCGTTCCTGTTTTTGTTATGGAAAAGGTAAATCTGTCTTTACCTATCAAGGAAAGGGAAGCTCACAGGCAGAATTATTCTGAAAGCGGCATCATGGTGTTGTCCCTATACGATTGTAAACAGGTAAGCGTCATGAATTTAGTCACACATTTCCTTCGCACGTGATAAGGATGGTGAATGGGTTAGACAGTAACAACACCGTTTTTGGTAGGAAAGTGTTTGAGGATAAAAATAGAACATTCTTCTTCTTCTCCCTTTTAATGTGCAGGGCTCTTACTGGGTCATTTTCGCACATGCAAGTTCTGTGTAATGTAGACAGAAAAAATCAATCTCCACGATACGATTTTGAAATTTAGCACTCGGCAAAGTCTCGTGCTAAACGTCAAGACATTTGCGCTCGTGTTGAGATTTTTCTGTCTTCATCACAAAGGATTGATAGATAATATTCCTTCTTTTTTCCTTACTAAACGAGATTTTGCTTGTGAAGCGTGAAAGAAAGGTCAACGTTCTTCGACAAATCGTCTTGCTAAACCTAAAAGCTCTAACCCTCGGGTTGAGATTATTCTTGCTATACAAGAATGATAGATTATGTTTATCTCTCCAGCTTGGAAACTGAATTCCTGGTACTTGAATTGTACTTATGCTATATTTATACTTACAGGTAGAATAATGAACGTTGCAGGATATCACAACGTGTTTATGTTTCTAGGTATGTATATTTCATAACAACGTGGTTTACTGGTGAAACTCATACTGGTATTAAATGGATCTTTTTTTTAATTTAATAAAAATCATATTATTATTTTGTAAACAATGAAAAGGAGTCCACAGCAAAATTATGTTGATATATTTTATTTAAACCGAAAGAAATGACAGAGCTATTAAAAATAGTATTCGCTTTGTTTCCTATATTTACATAATAACATGGAACAAATAGCCAAAACTACAAAATTCATATTTCAAATGTTTTCCGCAAAACAACATTAAACCTGGTAGACATATCAGAATTGTGACTATTGCTTTTTTGGAATCAAAAGTTTTAATTCTTTCCTGCAACCAAGAAAACCAATACCCGAATAATACAGTCTTTTCTCTCCATATTACAACAGTGTTTTAAAAACATCAACAGTAAAAGAAAAGAAAGACTTTCACATCACCTTTTAATATCCTGTTTCGCAGATCTCATTTGATGTTGTTAATTAGTTCAATATTTAAAATGTACATAAAACATTCAAATACTGTAACCTGTGTTTCTGATATTTTTATTACGTATTTACCACTCATGATATGTGATTAATGACAATGTACGATATTTTGTATTATCCGGAAAATCTTAAATATCTATACAACAAGCCATTCGAATTGATATGTCTCGCCTGTGCCCTGCTTTGACCACCAATGCACATGTCAAGTTTGGTTGGTCTAGCACTTGTAGATTCGGAGAAACTAACTTAAACGCAAAAACTTAATGTTGATGGAGATGCAATGAAAGGTATTCCGCATCCAGCATTTGATGCATGGGTTGACATATACTGCCTAAGATGCATCATCTATGGTCCAAGTTTGGTTGGTCTAGCACTTATACTTTCAGTGAAACTAACTGTCTAACGCCGGAAAAGCAACACGCGAGTCTCGCTTTCGCTACTTCGTGGCGGCGAGACGAAACCCTCATAATATCTTATTTCAGGGCATATAAACTAATTAAATAGCACTTAAATATGAATGGTTTATAATATCCCAACTTTTGTCAAATAGAAGTTTTTGATTAAGGAATTGATTTTCTGAACAGGTATTTACAGCACATTTGTGTCGGCTTTATGACATTTCTTCTCTATTGTTAAAGACTTCACACGTCTTAGATGACCTAGAACAAACAGTAATATAGATAGTCATGTTTGTTATTGATCAGATATTTTACATTTTGTTATTGAGTGAAGAGACAAAACTTGACGGTTCATATAAAAATTATTGAAGAAGACCCGCCTTCATGTGTTCAATCAACTGTTTTTGATAAAAAAAAAAATAACGACAAATTCAAATATGTTTCTGTTTAAGGTAATTTTGGTTAAAATGTTGTAATGTTATGTACTAAAACTAATATTACTTTTTAAAGAGAGCACTTAATCTTCTACGCAATAACATCATCGCAGTAAGTCGGGATACAATGCCTAAGGAAACTCGTAGCACTGCCAAAATGCAAAATCTGGTTCACCCGTTCTCAGTATAATGTGATCAGACGGGATGCTATGCTTGGTGCCTTCAGCATCGTACTTCAGCGAGGTAGTACTATAAAGTCGGCGTCAGATCCGCACTAGCACAAGAAGACAATTACACCAACATTTTCTGCCTCCAGCACCCATTCACAAATATACGCAGGCATTACACATATGGCGGCACGTCCTTAAATGACCTCAGCTGTTGATAGCATGTAAAACACTTTATAACCAAACCAAAACCACAGCCAAAAACCTAACTACACATTGGAAATATTTTTTTCTGCATTCCTGAAGCTTTAATAAGTAATTTCTGAAAAGAATACGATTCCTTGGGAGACTTTTGTGATATAGCAGTGTTCTGAAAGTTAGTGGGGCTAGACTGGGATCCGCCCGACCCCAGGTTTTCATATTATCGCTCTAAGCGACATAGCTACCCATTCACAGAACTGTAATGGCCTAACTTATTTTATTTCTTTAGGTTGTCTGTTTGTCTTGGCGTCCGTGCTAGGTGCAGTGACGATACTCTTTATACCAAAAGACATACAGAAAACACACAAAGAAGTGATGTCAAAAACAACAGAAGCTAGTCCAGAGGAAAAGCAGTCTATGGTCGACCCAGTATAGAACGCCATGCTACTAGCAATTTTATGTAATACTCTGCTACGCATCTGTTTTTGTTGATTTGAAATGTTATTTATAAGTTGTTTTTTACATTAAATTATGAATGAAACATGAAATTTATTTAATAAAATGCAGAGCGCGTAAGTGAGCGTAAGCCCTGGAGTATCGAGGCTGGCCACGGTTGTGCAATTTCTTCAGACGAAGGACTGTCTGGTAGGTCAACCTGAATAAGTAGTTTTAAAATTTGTATATTTCATTCCTGTGCGTATGTGATTTTGCATTACGTCATATGTACAGGTATATAAAGTACGTGCCGGAAGTCTTTCGCTTTATGTTAATTTTCCATTGGATTCTATGATAATCAACTTTTTCCCTTAAAAAAATAATTGTAACTTTGTTGACTTTGACATCAAATTTTGATAAAACTTTAGACCCTAATGCATACATTATTTAGTGTTTCTAGACCCCCTTTTACGATACACCTGCAGGATATACAGCAGGGACCACATTCATAAAACCGTTCTTATGTTCAAGCATGCTTTTTTTTGCTCAAGCCAAACATTTCTTGTTTACGTTTTAAACTAATAAACAAGTATTATTGCGTCAATGATTTGGAAAAATATTGAAGAGACTTAAGGCAAAATACTGTTTTTAATGTTTACATTTGACTTTTTGATCATTTGACATGAATTAAGCGAGTTTCAAGAATTCAAAATTCAACAAAATCCATGCTTGAGCATGAGAACGATTTCTTGAATACGAACCTAGGTCTATTCTTGATTTATTTCTTCAATGTCACCGTAATAGAAGAAAAGGAAGAGATCATCCCCGATTCTGCAAGAGGGAGCACATTAGTCGCCTCTTATTATCAGGCAGTGGAATACAGCAGGCCTATTCTTTCCCCGACCTGCACGGGTTTTTATGTAATTAATGATTACACTATATAAATGTTACAAATTGAAGCGCTAGCTTAGTCTCTGGTTGTGTGCCATTTTATCAATTTTCGACAAAACAAAAGCCAGGACTAGACCAGAAAACGACATTAACTTTATTCAATAGCAAATACAACATGGGAGACTAAATGGCACATCTCTTTGTGTGTGAAAGGAAGATCTAATAGTAAGTACCCACATGTATATTAAGTATCATAATACCCCTAGAGAAGGCGATTGTGAAAAGAATACTACCCATTGGATGTAGTAAGAGGCAACTAACGTGGGAGCCTCCTGCTGAAAAGGAATTGCGTTTGTGCCCTCTACTCGGGAATAATAAATCTGCTGCACCCATTGCAATATTTCGTGTTTTTTTTTATATCTCTCTACTTCTAAATACCTTTTACTTCGTAGTGCCTGCTTGACGATTCCTCATTTTGGCTGTTCTGTTTAACGTTCATCCAGGTGAGGAAGGCAATGGGTTTTGTCCCAAAGCCGGGACATACAAATTTCTGCTCTTGTGTCGGCGAACTTCCAAACCCAGATATCTCCACAAGGTTTATATCGGGTTCAAGTCGGGGAACTGTGGGGGCCAGAATATGATTGTCCTTCTTCCATTCGTTCACTATTCGTGCTCGTTGGCATGGGGCGTCATCATCCTGGAAGAAATAGATGTTTCAATAGCCTAGCAGATGTGCTGAAGGTACCGCGCTGTTTTTTAAAATGTCAATGTATTTGGTTCCGTTCCGATTTCCTTTCAAAGGAGTGAGGTATCCAGTCCCTCAGTAGGACATTGCACCCCAAACTGTCACACCACCACCACCAGACTTAACTGTAGGAACTACACAGTCTTGCCGCAATTGTTCATTTGCCCTACTTCTCACATACGTCCTGCCATCTGTTTGGAATGGTAAACCTAGACTCGTCAGTCCATAAAACAGTCGACCAGTCCACCAATGTCCAATTTTCATGGTTCTGTGCAAATGTCAATCTTTCCCGACGATGGGTATCAGTCAAAAGTGGTTTATTGATAGCGACACATTCTTTCAATCCCGTATTGTGTAATCGTCTCATCACTGTGGTATTCGACGCTACCACACCATTTTGGATCCACTCCATTCGAAGCTCAGGAACGGTATCCTTGCAATTTCTGAGGCTGGCCCGGACTAATAATCTATCATCCCGAGGGGTAGAAATCCGTGGCCGGCCAGAACGATCTCGATACTCATAGTTCCCGGCATCTCAGAACCGTTTAATGGCCCTGTATACGTTCTGGCTGCAACAAAAGAGAAACAGTAAAACAACAATAGACAGATTCGGGATAAGAAAAGTATGCAAATGCACCAAAATCCGTGATGAAAACATTCACTTAACTGCTGGTTCCAATAATTCTTGCGATGGTGAAAAACACATTGGAATCGTTCTTCTCTTGTCATTCGCTGCATTTCTTCGCATGAGTAATTGTAAAGTGATTGAATAGTACAACTATACTTAAGAGATGACAAATAATCAATGAATGGTTAATAGTGGTGTATTTTGTAATTTAAATTAAATTAAAATCAAATACAGAGTACATTTAAGTAAATCTAACAATTCTCAAACATCTGATAGATTTACGTAAAATGTGAAATTACAGAATTGTTTGACAAAACCCTTTTTGTGATTCAATTTTGATAATCAATGATCGCAAATCATCTTAATCACATCATCTTCCTTTTCATTAATCGAAAAACATTTAAAGAACATTGATATTTCCAATAGTTGTGTCAAAGATAATTTATCAGAAAAATTTAACATATGTAACAGAACTTTCGGAGGGCAGTGTATATAATTAATATTGAAATCTTTTTAATTTTAATATTTGTTATTATAAATCTGAAAAATCTTATACGATGTACATGCAAATGTGTTATTAAATCAAATATGATGAGCTTCCAGCTTAGATAGAACACCACCTTAGATGGAAGGGTTAATCACTGGTAAAAACACAGGTAAATTCTCAGAAACAGACTATAATCTTTCTCCCAGCATTTTTTAAAGTGGGGGAACTGAGAACAAGCCGTTTATATTTCGTAGAGATACGAAGTCAAATGTCAGTAATTTTAAACAATATGATTGGCTAGGGCTTTGTACATTGGGAGCCGGGAGATACGAATATTCACTGTCGTTCTGACATTAAGCAGAGCAGGCTGCCTCCTTGTGATAGCGTGGATCTGATGCGGATTTTATAGAGATAACTCACAGCAATACCATGCCGAAGACAAGCACATCAGTCCGCCCGGTCACTTTATACCGACAACAGGTGAACCGGTTATTACCCTAAATGCTGAACGTTTAGCAGGGAATAACAACTACCATTTTAAGGAATTTGGTATGTCCAGGCCCTGGGGACAGAACCCATTTCTTACCCCGCTTGAGTGTCTTTTTAACACTAAGGGAAAATGTAATATCTTGTCAAGCGAGGCGCTAGAAAACAAAAACTATTGTTAGGAAGTCGAGAGAAAATATGAAAAAATCTCAAATTATGCAATTGAGGACAGGAGATCTATTTGTGTTTTTTTCAAAACTCATCTTAGCAGAAAACACGGAAGAAAGCCATGTAGTGTATACGCCAGGTCTGTTTTATCGTTCGATGTGCAAACGAGATTCCTGGAACAGTCTAACGTCACCAAAATGTTTGCTTTTAACGGTTATATCACGTTATTCGAGGTAAGAGGGGAAATGACGCTGATCAAATTGCGTTCATAGCCATATGAACGCAAATTCTGTTGGTAATGTTTATAGAGGAACTTGCAGTGCTTGTACATATAAAGGAGTATGAAGTAATGTCATCTTACGGTTTCAGTGACAGGTTAATAACCTATTTTAAAACAAGCTTTATTTCGAAGAACAAATGGTATCTCTGAAGAGAAAACATTCAAGTAGGACTTTGATAATATTTGGGTACCTCCAGGATATGTCCTGGAATCCATTCTGTTTGTAATATACATAAACAATATTCCAGGTACTTTAAAATCTCCCAGCTATTGAGATTCCATCTTGGAAAATGTAAATCCCTGAGCATCGGCCTTGTATTGAGAACGAACATATGTGTTAAACAATTAAGCACTAGATAATGTATGCCGTGAGTGTGTATAGACAATGCCCTAACGTGTGACTACAAAATAATAACCAATGTTAAAAGTCGAATTCAATGTTCGCGTTCATTCGACGAACTTTTCAATACATGAATGAACGTGCTTTTTATATAAAACTCTTGTTTAATTAATTAGAATTAGAATATATACAAACACAGTAGTGTACCCATATAAAGCTTAGCTCGTCAAAATGTTGGAAAGGGTCCAAAGAATGACAACGAAGCAAATTTGAGATTCAGAGACCTGTCATATCCGGGGCGGCTTAAAAGACCAAACTTACTTACCTACATCAGACGTGCAAGAGATTACATTATAGAAGCATTCAAGATAACGAGTGGTGTCTATGATCGAAACGTGTCAGTTTTTCTTTTTGTGTCGCCTGCAACACGAGGCGATATATAGGTATTACTTTGTCGGGTTCGGCGTCGTCGGTTGCGTCGTCCGAAACAAGGTTTCCGTGCGATAACTTGAGTTTCCTTGGGTTGATTAAACTCAAACTTGGTACACATATTGCATACCAATATATCTCAGACAAGTTCTCATTCCAGATGTTTACGTGCAAGTTTTGTGGAGTGATGCCCCTTTTATTGACAAATAAGGGCAATGTGTAGTAAATGCAAACTTTTTTAATCAATTCCTTATTCAAATTTTGTACGGTAATGCTAGAAGCAATAATCTTTAGCATATATTACGGTTTTTCTGTCGAGTTTCAACTTTCTGCGTTTTGTCATATCTGTTTACGCGATAACTCAGCCCAAAACACTAATCTTACTAAAAGCCTTGGAATTCTTGTTTTCTCTACGAGTAGAAAAACTATGGAGGCCGTGCAGACTCAATAAACACTGGAATGATCAGGAACTGAAATATATATATTCATACCCGAAGTTTCATATATGTATACATGCATGTTTTTATTTTTGCTTTGTTGTTTTGAAAACATGTCTGAGTCCAATGTAAAGTGTCATTTAGATCCTGTATCGGAAAATAAACTTATCTTCGTATCGATCTTAATCATTGTGAGAGAGAAAAAATGTTGCAAATAGTTTCATTTTTTTTTTCTTTTCTCTCTCTTTAATTTCAAAATCCAAGTATTTTATTCGATTTTTTAATAAACAATGCATGAATGGTTTGCAGAACTGTCTGCTGAAATAGAGAGTATTAATTTCTGTTGTGGCTTGTGACGGAAACTGCATATAACATTTCAGTTGGTACTTTAAACGAGTTCGCGTATTCTACTGAAAGATAGATAACTCTAACTTTAAAACAGCGATGATGTCACAGGTGTCCAATAAGCTGCATGAACTGTCCAATAAGTTTGACCAACTGTCCAGTTAGTTACCCACCTGTCTTAAATGGGATTCACTTATTGGACATTTGTGACATCACATAGGATTGACGGGCTGAGCCAAATGGGAGTAATTTAGCTATTTCTTATAAAACGCAACCAATGTATTCTCAATACAATAATTAATCAACATCTAACATACCAGTGGGGTGCTATATTCATAATCCAACACAAAAAGCTAAAGTAACAGCAGTGTATATATCCATGGAATTGAACATATTCACAATTCATCCTTAAAATTTCAGCACAAAGGGCATGTTACCTGATGACACACTTATTTCCGTGCTGTTTGAAACATTCTCACATTCAACTAGTGCCGTTGCTGCCGTTGCTGTTGCTGTATACTGTTGCTGTTGCTGTTGCCGTTGCTGTTACTGTTGCTGTTACTGTTGCTGTTGCCATTTCTGTTGCTGTTGCCGTTGCCGTTGCTGTTGCCGTTGCCGTTGCCATGTTTGTCTTTTAGTGTCCTTGAATGACATTACTTACATTGGGCATCCGTTCTTCATCGGTGCGTTTGTAAGAACGAACTGCAGAAGATCGTTGGCCTGTTTTCTCAACTAGTTGCTCGTCCGCCCCAGCGATATATAATCGGGTTGCTGCTGTTGCTCATAATGATTTACAACCTGCCGACAGTTAGCTGTAACTGGTGCACCCCTTATAGACGAGGCAGCATACCATACGTCATGTGTAGGGAACTCCCTCGGCCGAAGATATAGTGCATCACATTTTCCGTTGCTGGGTCTAAAATAAAAAAATGTATTAAGAAATAAATGATAAATTAGTGAAACCTGCTAATAAAAATTACAGTTATAAACACAAAAATAAAGTTTGTTTAGTTGAAATTTAAACAGATGTATAAAAGTTACCTGTCACCAGTAATGAATTGTATATCCCCCCTTTCCTTGCCACCTAAATTTGATTTACCTTAAACTGATAGATTTTTCTATGGATTTG